CGATACTCAATTGGGAGCCAGTGTAGATGCCGCAGCACTGGCGTTATATGGCATTTCATGGGCGTTTTTGTGAGTAACCTGGCTGCAGCATTCTGGACAATACGGAGCTTTCGGGTCGTAGAAATAGGAAGGCCAACATACAAGGCGTTACAATAGTCCAGCCTAGATGTGACCGTGGCATGGATGACTGTTGCCAGAGCCTCATCCGACAGGTAAGGTGCCAGTTGCCTCACTTGTCGTAGATGGAAAAAGGCCTGTTTGCTGGCAGCAGCGACCTGAGCCTCCATCGTCAGCTGCGAATCCAAAATGACACCCAAGCTCTTAACGGTAGGCGATGGAGATAGAGCAGCACCATCAAAGGCAGGTAACGGATGGGTCGGACCTATCGGGCAGCCATGCCACAGGATCTCAGTCTTCGCTCGATTCACCTTCAGTCTGCTAGCATGTAGCCAGTTCGACAGAGCCTCCAGGCATCAGGTGAAATTATCAGGTATTGACGTTACTCCAGGCTCCAACCGCAACAGGAGTTGGGTGTCGTCCGCATATTGATAGCAGTCCAGGCCGAATCTCCGAACCAAACTGGCAAGGGGTCTAACGTAGATGTTGAAAAGAAGAGGGGAGAGAATTGCACCTTGGGGTACCCCGCATGGGGGGGGGGGGAACTTTCGGAGACTTGGTCCATGTATTCCACGCACTGACTCCGCGATTTCGGAGGAATGAATTGAACCAATTGAGGGCCTGACTGCGAACTCCGGACATGGCGAGACAGTGGATCATTAAATCGTAGTCAACAGTGTCGAACGCTGCAGTAAGATCGAGAAGTACCAGAAGCGCCGATCCACCGCTATCAGACTGGCGACGAAGTTCATCTGTAATAGCAACCAGGACCGTCTCCGTCCCATGACCCGGGCGAAAGCCTGACTGGAAAGGGTCCAGGGCGGCTGTGTCATCCAAAAATTGCTACAATTGTCCCAATACAGCCCGCTCTATCACCTTACCTAATAATGGAAGATTAGAGACGGGACGATAATTGGCAAGGGTCATAGGGTCCAGGTTGGGCTTCTTCAACAAGGGACGGACCCTTGCCTCTTTTAGGTTATCCGGGAAAACCCCTTGTTCAAGACAGCCATTGATTATATTGCTCAAAGGATCGAATAGTCCTTCCAGGCAGCTCTTAACCAGCCAAAAGGGGCACGGATCAAGGGAACAGGTGGTTGGCTTTGCAGCAGCCAGGATTCTGGTGACATCTTCCGCATCTAGCGGGATGAATCGATCAAAAATAGGCACACTAAGCGGCCACGGAGTCTCCAGCTCACTCAAAGTGTCGGGTGTAGGGGACAGTTCCTGCCGGAGCAAAGTGATTTTATCAGTAAAAAAATTCTGGAATGCCGCAGCTTTAGGAGCCATGGTTGCTGGGTTCTGGACTGGGGGAGCCGGACTCATCAAAGCACGAACAATTTTGAACAACTGTGCTGGGCGCGATCTGGCAGAGGCTATTAAGGAGGAATTATATGATTTTTTTTGCGTCCTTGACGGCTGACTCATAGGACTTGCGAAAAGCCTTAAAAGTGGACATTGGCACCTCATCGGGTTTCCGGCGCCATTGATGTTCTAGCCACTTTCGTGCTTGCTTCATCAGCCGTAGCTCATTAGTATACCAAGGGGAGTGATTCTGGCGAGGGCGAAGATGACGTTTGGGAGCAATCTCATCCAAGGCAGACAACAGACTGGCATTCCAGTTGTTGACTTGCTCATTGAGAGTGACACACACAGTTCCCAGGCCCTTAAGGGCATTAAAAAATCTAGCAGGTTCCATGAGTCTCCCAGGCCGAGCAAGGATTGATTTAACAACTGGGGGAGGAGGAGATGGGATCTCAACCTGGGCCTTCAGGGCAGCGTGGTCGGACCAAGGGACGTCAATTACTGCAGATAGGGATGTTCGCACCCCGATAGTGAAAATCAGGTCTAAAGTGTGGCCAGCCCGATGTGTAGGGTGCGTCTTAGTTAATGAGAGCCCCAGAACTTCCAAGGTTGGTACTAGATCCTTAGTTATTGACGAAGTTGACGGTGTTCTGGGTAACACTGAAGTTACCCAGAACAATAAGTCTGGGGAACCTCAGGACCCAGTCCGCCACAAGATCTAATAAATTAAGCAGACTCTCTCCCGGAGACCCAGGTGCACGGTATACTACAAGAATGGCTAAAGATTCCCTGCTAGCCAGAACCGCACCAACACACTCAATACCGGCTATCTTTGGAGTTGGGGTAATTTTGATGGTACAATAGTCACGGGAGAGTATTGCTACCTCAGAAGAGAAGGTTGGGAGGATGAGACATGGAAGCCATGCACAAATACGTGAAAGGGTGTCCTAAGGAAGAGGGAGGGGGCTTCCTTTCTGCTGCCCTGGAGACAAGGACTCAATGGAGCCATGGGATGAAGTGACAGGAAAGGATGGAGATGCCACTTGAACATGAGGAAGAACTTCCTGGCCATCAGAAGACCTGTTCAGCAGTGGAACTCTCTCCTTCGGATTCCAGTGGAAGCTCCTTCCTTGGAGGCTTTTCAACAGAGGCCCCAGCAACATCACAAGGAGAGAAGGTCAAGCCATCAAAGACCTCAACTCAGATCCAGACATCATCATTCTCCCAGTGGACAAGGGGAATGCCACAGTCATCATGGAAAGAGAACAATACAAAGCGAGGATCAGACAACTCCTGGATCCCACAATATACAATAAACTAAAAAAGGAAGCCAACCACCAAAAGATCCAGAAAAACTAACACTCTGATCAAGAACTCCTCACTCGACTTCAACATACGTCAACAACTATGCAAAACGGAAGCTTTATGGACTCCCAAACATCCATAAGGACACCACCCCACTCAGATCCATTGTGAGTGCCATTGGATCCCCCGGATACGACTTGGCGAAATTTCTGGCTGCACAGCTACAAACCCGTATTGGGCTTACTACGCACAACATCAAGGACTCAGCCCACTTCATAGAAAAAACCAGCAGCCTCAAGCTCAACACCAATGACAAGCTGATCAGCTTTGATGTGGTGTCTCTATTTACCAAAGTCCCGGCAGCAGACACCACCACGCTCATCAACCAGAAGTTCCCAGAAGACATCACAGCCCTCTTCCACCATTGCCTCACCGCAAGCTCCTTCCAGGAGGACAATGATTTCTATGAACAGAAAGAGGGAGTAGCCATGGGGAGGGAGCCCTCTCAGCCCCGTCATTGCCAACTTCTACATGGAACACTTTGAAAAACAGGCCCTGGAAACAGCAACAAAAAGCTCAAATATGTGGATGACTCCTTCACCATTTGGAGCCATGGAGGAGAAGAACTCAACACATTCCTGAACCTCCTGAACAGCATCCGCTCAAACATCCAATTCACCAAGGAAAAAGAAAATGAAGGAAAACTACCATTTCTAGATGTCCCAGTCATCCACAAACCAGATCAACAATTGGGTCACAGAGTTTGCAGAGAACCTACACACACAGATAGATACGGACATCAAAGCTCCAACCATCACCCAAGTCAAAAAAGAAGCACAGTGAAAGCCCAGGCAGAGCGTGCAAGAAGAATCTGCAAAACCCTCCTCCTCCAAGGGGAACGGAAGAACCTCAACTGGCCAATGGAGACAATGGAGACCACCAGAGGCATCAGAAGAGCTGCAAGACCGAGAACAAGCCAAGAGAGTCAAGACCAAGATCCACCCAGAGGAAAAATGGTCTTGCCAGACATCAAGTGAACCACTGCCGGCAGAGGGAAACTGATGAGGAAACACAACATACAAACTATCTACAGACTCACCAAGGAAATCCAACCAGTGCTCCACTCAGCAAAGGACAAGAGGGACCCTCTCACCTTGCAGGAGCCTACTGTATACTATGCAGCTGTGGACAAGTCTACAGAGGGAGACCAAATGCAGCAGAATTGCCCAAACACATGTCAAGGAACATGAGAGGCACTGCAGACTACGTCAACCAGGGACCACTGCAAACCCCACCACTGATGGACCCGGACTCAGGCCCCCAATGACCCACTTTACATCTAGTTGAGCCTTGGGGGGGGGTGGAACACGGATGATAGGATTTACAGTACTTTCACCCTTATCAACAGACGGGTGTGACCCCCACATGTGACTGACTTGAGGAATAGACCCCGATGACCAAATGAATATAATGGAGGGATTTGGGGGGAATTATTATTATCATTAAACTTTATTTGTACCCCGCTAGAATCTCCCACAGGACCCGATGCGGCTTACAAAGGCCAAGGCCTCAACACACAATACAACAATACAAAACCTAGGCAAATTAAAAACAATTAAAGCATTCTAAAACAACAAGCAATGAACAATCCACTAAGACACAATAAAACTGGGCTGGGCCAGAGTAAGGGTACAAGAGTTAAAAGTGCTGATGTGACAGGAGGTATGTAGGATTATAGGGCAAGTGCAGTGTGCAGCAATCTTAGTTCTAGTAAAGTGCTTCTGGGACTTGGTATTGGAGGGCGGCACAGACATGGCGTCCATAAACAAACAAACAAACAAACAAATTGCCATTCACCTGCACTCAGAGAAACTGGGACCTGCCCCCTCCCCACACCAATGGACTGGACTTAGTGAGCACAGAGAACCCCTTGGCCAACTGAGCCTACTGAGGGGTTTGCGGGGAAGTGACCTTGATTTTTGGGAGTTGTAGTTCCCCCACATTCAGAGAAACGGTGGCAGGACAGGGAGAATCCTAGAATCAAATAGTTGGGAGACCTGGTGGGCCCCCTGCCTCGCCTCCTTCCTTTGCTTTTCTCACCCAAGCAGCCACGCGGAAGGAAGCCCCCCCCCCGCCAGGCCCACAAGCCCCGCCCAGCCCCGCCTCGCCTGCCAATCACTCGGGAGGCGGACCGCCTCCCCCCGCCTTACTCGTCAATACATGGCTTCCCCCTCCCCCCCTTGGAGCACTAGGCCGCGGCCCCTCAGGCTCACCTGCTGGGCGCAAAGAGGAGTGGGCGAGGAGGAGGAGGAGGAGGAGGAGAGGCCCACCCAGGTGGGTTCCAAGAGGCGGGCGGAATGACTGACTGGCTGGCTGGCTGGCTGGCTGGCTTCCCCAAAGAGGCGCCCTCAGCTCCGGGACCGGGTGACAGGCCTCCCTGACTGGGACTGGCACAAAATGGCGCCGGCCTTCTTCTTCTCCCCTCAGCGTGGCCCCGCCCACCGCCTCTCCCTCAGCGCCTTCCCGCCCATCATCCTGAGGGCCAATCAGGGCGCGGCTCTGGCCCTGGAGGCTGCCCCGTGGCCCCGCCCCCTCCACGCTGACCCTGGCTTCTTCTCCCCTAAGCGTGGCCCCGCCCATCATCCTGAGGGCCAATCAGGGCGCGGCTCTGGCCCTGGAGACTGCCCCGTGGCCCCGCCCCCTCCGCTCTAGGCCTGGCTTCTTCTCCCCTCAGCGTGGCCCCGCCCATCATCCTGAGGGCCAATCAGGGCGCGGCTCTGGCCCTGGAGACTGCCCGTGGCCCCGCCCCCTCCACTCTGGGCCTGGCTTCGGCCTCCTCAGGGTGGCCCCGCCCACCGCCTCTCCCTCAGCGCTCTCCCGCCCATCATCCTGAGGGCCAATCAGGGCGCGGCTCTGGCCCTGGAGACTGCCCGTGGCCCCGCCCCCTTCACTCTGGGCCTGGCTTCGGCCTCCTCAGTGCCATCATCATCCCTCACACTCCTCGTTTTCCTTTGAAGGTTGGGGGTGGACTACAACTCCCATCATCACGCCAGATTAACTCCAGGGAGGAAGCGCCCCCCCTCAGAGTAGGGCAAAGGGCCTCCAGAGGCGGCCTGGGTGGGGCCCTCCCTCCCCTCCCTCTCTCCAGCCGCCCACAGGGTGGACTACAACTCCCATCGTGGTGGTCCACTCCCTCCAAGGCCCTCCACTATGTGCAGGTGGGCCTGGGGTTCTGTGTGCCAGGTGAGGACCAGGCCCGGCATGGGAGGGGTCCGAGTGCCCTCGGATGGCAGGTGGTCTAGACATCCCAGCAACCCTACTCACAGGCACCAAGGCCAATCCCACCCCAAACCCACCAGTATCGGAATTGTGGCCTACCGGGTATGCGTGCCGAATGTGGTGCAGATCCATCCTTGCTGTTTGCATTCACAGGGCTCTCTGGGTGCAGGTGGACTATACATCCCAGCAACCACAACTCAGAAACCTCAAGGCCAATCCCACCCCACACCTACCAATATTGGAATTTGGACGTATCGGGAATGGGTGCCGAATTTGATGCAAATCCATCGTTGTTGTTGCGTTCACAGGGCTCTCTGTGTGGAAGTGAACTAGACATCCCAGCAACCACAACTCACAATCGCCGAGGCCAATCCCATCACAAACCCACCAGTATTGGAATTTGGGCCTATCGGGCATGTGTGCTGAATTTGGTGCAGATCCATCCTTGTTTGCGTTCACAGGGCTCTATGTGTGGAACTGAACTAGACATCCCAGCAACCACAACTCACAATCGCCGAGGCCAATCCCACCCCAAACCCACCAGTATTGGAAATTGGGCCTACTGCACATGCGTGCCAAATGTGGTGCAGATCCGTCGTCGTCATTTGCATCCACAGGGTTCTCTGGGTGCGGGTGAACTACAATTCCTCTCAGTCAAGGTCCATTCCCCCCACCGCTCTCCGTTATATTTGCCCTCGGTCTTGGGGTTTCTGGGTGCAAAGGGGGTCCAGGCCCCATGTCAGTGGGGGCCACTCTCAGAGCCGTGCCTTGATGCAGAATGAACTACAACTTCCATCTTGAGGAGTCAGTCCCCAAAACCCTCCAGAATGTTTGATAGCGAGCCGCTTTTAGGAGGGTCTCCCCAGCCGAGGAGATCCCAAGGACCGTACCAAAGAGGGTCCTGGAACCTTGGTGAGGTCAGCGAAGCCAATTCCAGTAGCGAAAATATTAAAATAATAAATCCCCACCAAAGCGGAAGAAGATGGTGACCGGGGTGTCTTTATGAGCGATTCAGCTGAGATCGGATGCATTGCAGGGATAGTTCCACTACAAGCATACCAACTCAGAATGTACAGGCATTTGATTCAGGTTGTCCCCTTCCAGGATCAGATCAGGTAAAAGGTGAGGCTAGGAAGGATGTTTGTTGTGAAGGGAAACTTGGCAGAGGAGGAAATCACAGTCTGAGGACCCCTTCCTAAAGTCAAATAGTAACTCCAGGTCCCATTGTTCAGATGTGAGATCCAAGTAAATAGGTGTTTTTGTGATTCCTGATTGCCTTTTCAGCCCAGCGGGCTGCTCCCTGATCAGCCTCCCAAAGGGCAAAAGAGTTCATGGCTGGGTCAGACTTGTGAAGGAAATACATAGAAGGAAAGTCTATAGAAATGGTAGGAAATTCCTATCCATCACCCCTTCTCCATCCCACCCACCAGAGACATTTAATAAAGAAATTATTTCCAAGCAGTGTGAATCCATAAGCGGGAAAGATGTCCTTCTGAGTCCAAAACGTTAGGCAGAGCTGCCACGCTGGTCCCTGGGAAACTACAACTCTCATGGAGGGCAGAAGTCCCAAGATCCAGCCGTTTCCCAAAAGCCTCGTGGGGTCCTTGTTGTTGTCAGTGCCTTGGCAATGTGACCAAGATTGACCCTTGTTGTGTAGTCTGGTGCCCTTGCCCTTTGCAGAACTATAAGTCACTATCCCTTATTTTGCAGGGGGGGGGGGTGCTTGACATCATTACTTTCACATGTGGGGTTTTTCTGGGATTTTATGTCAGTACTAGCTGTGCCCGGCCAGGCGTTGCTGTGGCCCTCAGGTAACAGAGGAATTCCCCACATGAAACAATCTGGGCTAGGGAACAGGCAGGAAGAAGCCAGGCTTTTAAGCTGCAAGGCTTTTCAAAGGTAATCAAGGTGGGCAATTCCAACATTCACACCTAACTCAAGTATAAGAGAGTTATGTTTACCACCCGGACCTTTCTCATGTCTTTAAAGAGAAGCCTTTCACAGGATGGCAAAGCATCTGGGAGTCCCTCTGGGGAACATCCTTGGAGACGGCCAATTCTCTCACTCCGGAAGCGACTTGTACTTCCTCAAGGTTCGGGAGATATAAACAGAGAGTACCTTTTTATTTATATAGAATGTCTGCAGGAATGTGTAGCTGTGCGTGTGTATTTATGTTTGTGAGTATGTGTGTATAGGAAGAAGAAGAAAGGGAAGGATAGGAAGAGAGGAAGGGAAGGGAGGGAAGGAAAAAATGGGAAAGGAAGGGGGGAAGGAAAGAATGGGAGGGAGGGAAGGGTTGCCGCAGGGTTCCATCCTGGGCCCAATCCTGTTCAACCTCTTTATTAATGACTTAGATGAAGGGCGAGAAGGCAGGCTCATCAAGTATGCAGACGACACCAAATTGGGAGGGATAGCCAATACTCCAGAGGACAGGAGCAGGACACAAAGGGATCTTGACAGATTAGAGAGATGATGGGCCAAAACTAACACAATGAAGTTCAACAGTGACAAATTTGGTGTGTTGAGGCCTTGGCCTTTGTAAGCCACATCGAGTCCTTCGGGAGATGCTAAAGGTAAAGGTAATCCCCTGACATTAAGTCCAGTCATGTCTGACTCTGGGGTGTGGTGCTCATCTCCATTCCTAAGCCGAAGAGCCGGCGTTGTCCGTAGACACCTCCAAGGTCATGTGACCGGCATGACTGCATGGAGCGCCATTACCTTCCCGTCGGAGCGGTACCTATTGATCTACTCACATTTGCATGTTTTCGAACTGCTAGGTTGGCAGAAGCTAGGGCTGACAGCGGAAGCTCACGCCGCTCCCCGGAATCGAAACTGCAACCTTTCGATCAACAAGCTAAGTGTGCTTTAACCCATTGCGCCACTGGGGGCTCCTCGGGAGATGCTAGCGGGGTACAAATAAAGTTTAGTAATCATTAATAATAATAAAATGCAAGAGACTCCACTTTGGCAGGAAAAACGAAATGCAAAGATACAGAATGGGGGACAATGCCTGGCTCGAGAGCAGTACGTGTGAAAAAGATCTTGGAGTCCTCGTGGACAAGTTAAACATGAGCCAGGAATGTGATGTGGCGGCAAAAAAAGCCAATAGGATTTTGGCCTGCATCAAGAGGAGCATAGTGTCCAGATCTAGGGAAGACATGCTCCCCATGCTCTATTCCGCTTTGGTTAGACCACTTTACCTGGAATATTGTGTCCAATTCTGGGCACCACAATTCAAGAGAGATATTGACTCTAAGCTGGAATGTGTCCAGAGGAGGGCGATTAAAATTATCAAGGGTCTGGAGAACAACCCTATGAGGAGCGGCTTAAGGAGCTGAGCATGTTTAGCCTGAAGAAGAGAAGGCTGGGAGGAGGCATTATAGCCATATATAAATACGTGAGAGGAAGCCACAGGGAGGAGGAGGGAGCAAGCTTGTTTTCTGCTTCCTTGGAGACTGGGACGCGGAACAATGGCTTCAAACTTCAACAGAGGAGATTCCATCTGAACATGAGGAAGAACTTCCTGACTGTGAGAGCCGTTCAGCAGTGGAACTCTCTGCCCTGGAGGGAGTGTGGTGGAGGCTCCTTCTTTGGAAGCTTTGAAACAGAGGCTGGATGGCCATCTGTCAGGGGTGATTTGAATGCAATATTCCTGCTTCTTGGCAGAATGGGGTTGGACTGGATGAAGGCCCAGGAGGTCTCTTTCAACTCTTTGATTCTATGATTCTATGATAACTCGTTAACAACAAACGAAAAATACATGGGCAAGCTACATGTAATGGATAACAGATAACTGGTTAAAAACAAATTAAAAACTCGGGTGAGATGAACAAAGACAGATGATTTGCAGAGGAGAGCTCATTTTAGTGGCGGTCGTGGAGCAAAGCTTTCCCATAGGGGGTAATGCACTTCAATAACACAAACCGTTGAAGCTAAGCACTAGTGTGAGGATGTAAACCTATTCATCAAATGCGCAGCGGAAGAGCCAGGTTTTGAGGTCCTTTTTAAAGGTTTCTAGGGTAAGGGCTTTCCTAATCTCT